GATATGGTGTTGGTCCAGATGTGGTCAAGTAGGGAAACACTAGTCTCCGTAACTCTTGTAGGTTTTGTTACTGTTGGTAGCAACATGCAGTTACTCATTGTGTTTGTGAATTCAGTAACGTGTGGGTCCTGGTCTTGCAGGAGATTTGTATTGAAGTCACCTGAGAGTAGTAAGTGATCTTTGTTCATGCGTGCATCAGTTATCATACTTCCTAGGTTTTGACTAAATTGGCTAATGTTTGACTGTGGAACTCTGTAGATGTTTATCAATGTGAGAGGTTTTTGTAGGTATTTGGATTTGAATTTAGCTATTATATATTCCCCATGTTCATCCCTTGTGCAAGTATTAGTGATACATTCTAGTTGGTCTGAGTAGTATATGGCTGTGCCACCCCCTTGTTGGTCTGGCCTACAGTTGTGTATGGCTGTGTAACCAGGAATGGCATAGACATCTGTAGTATCAGGCTTTAGCCAGGTTTCAGTTAGTGTAATGGACATATTGGCATGCAAGGAATTTAGTAATGCTAGGAGGTCATCATAATGCTTGCTTAAAGATCTGATATTGTAGTTAAAGATAGTTATGTTGTTGTTGGCTCTGAGAAGTGCCTTTGATTGTTCTGCTGTGTAGTAATTACAGTAACTGTTTGAATCATTTAAGTCATTAAATAAGAGGTTGGTATCAGGATCAATGCTTGTAATCATAAGATTTGTAGTGAATCTATAGTTAGAATTAAGTAAAAAATAAATATTCTAAAGCTAAAAAAAATAGCACCTGAATTATTTAACAAATGTAAAAATGAGCTAAGGTAGTTTTTTAAAGCTAAAATAAAGGAGACAATATAAAAGGGACTAAAATAATTTGTGGTGAACAAATAGTGATGATCAAATAATGGAGCTTGGGAATATGATAGTAGGTAGTACTTTAAAGGTAATTCTTTAAAGTTAGAATTATAATATAAAATTATAATATAAAAGGGACTAATGTAAGTTGTGGTGAACAATAAAGTGGTAATCAAATAATTGCACTAAGGTCTAATATAATGACTTGTGGAGTCTGTTTTGAGCTAGAATGAGCTATAGTACAACTAGATTTAATCTAATAATATAACAATACAAATTAAAAATAGCACCAGTCTCTCACTAGTAATTGCAATATGGTCTAATATAATGAAATTGGTATTGACTATAGTACAACTGAGTTTAATCTAATAATATAAAAAAGGCACAAGACACTCAATTGTAATTGCACTAAGGTGTTATATAAGTTGTTTACAAGAATTAGAGTATAACTAGATTTAAATTGACAAGATAAAATATGCAAGTTAAGGTAGCAAAAGAATAAAAAAAGTAGAAAAAAAAATGAGGTAGTTGGTACTAGTTGGCAAAAGATAGTCAAGGGCCTTGAACAATAATATAATTGAAAAATACACTAATTGCACACACAATATAGTCACTAAGATATGAAAACAATCTTAGAGTAGGAATTATAATACAAACTTATAATATAAAAATACAAATTTAAATGGTACTTGCAATTGCACTAGTCTGGTATAGGTTGTTGACAAGATCAAGAGTATAACTAGATTTAAATTGACAAAATATAATTCACAATTAAAGTACCAAAAGAATAATAGTAAAAAATAACAAGGGTAATGTCTTGGTTATAATATGATAGTAAGATGGTAGACAGGTACACAGGTACAAAGGATAATATAAAGGTTGGAGTTGAATATACAAACTTGAAAATTTGGCAACAAAATGTTATGGGAAGTATAAAATAATGTTTAATGTACAAAAGTAAAATTGACTGGTAGTAAATATGGTGTTTAATAAAATTTTAGTAAGTAATAATGATTACAAAAAAGTGAAAATGTTTATTTCATTCAATATTGCACTGGTAGTTTATTTATTTATTTACAATTTGAGCACACATACAGAGGTACAAAAAAATACAGATAAGAGCAGCATGCCAAAGCCACTTATACTATGCATAGCATTATGGGCTGGCTTAAAATTAACTTAAGATTAACTAAGCAATGATGAAATCAGTGATAAAACATTAATGTAAACAGATTACTATAAAGCACAAATGAGTATTACAAAGACAGGTCATATGGTTGCATGCATTGTTGTACATTCAGTAGAATGGAGTATTCTGTTAGGTAGTGTATTTAAAAAATAATAGTTAGATTGGGTTTTAGGTTTAACATTTGTGATATAATTGTGAGAAACATTTAAGATATACAATTTATAAGGTTCAGTTATTCAGTATTTATTTGGTTTTGGGTGAGTAAGTGATCTTTGAGAAGAGACTTGAATTTATAAACAGGTAGTGTTTCTTTTATATTTACATGTAATGAATTCCAGATTTTAGGGCCTTTTATGTGCATTGAGTTTTTGCATAGCGTGAGATGGACACGAGGAACATCAAAGAGTGATCTGTGCCTTGTGTTATGGTCATGTGTTCTGTTGAGGTTGGCAAGGAGTTGTTTGAGGGGAGGGTTAATATCAGAGTTAAGTGTTCTATGTATGTAATAGGTGCAGTAATAAGTATGGATGTTTTGTATGGTGAGTAGGTCGAGTGTATTGAATATTGGTGGAGTGTGCTGCCTGTAGTGAGAATTTATCATTCTAACTGCAGCCTTTTGTTGGGTAATTAGTGGTCTGAGATGGTTACTTGTTGCTGAGCCCCATGCACAAATTCCATAGGTGAGATAGGGGTAAATAAGAGTGATATAGGGCCAGGAGGGCTGACTGTGGAGCATAGTACCGTATCTTCGATAGTATGCCTACAGTCTTGGAAATTTTCTTAGAAATTTGTTGTATGTGTGTGAAATTTGAGTCTATTATCAAGGTGGATTCCTAAGAATTTTCCCTCTGTTAGCTTTGTGATAGGTGATCCGTTTATCATTATGTTAAGAGGTACATCTGTAGCTCTGTTACCAAACTGAATGAAGTAGGTTTTGTCAATGTTTAGTGTAAGTTTTAGTCCTCATCCAGGTAGATATTTTCTGTAATTCGGTATTTACAGTATTGGCTAGCGTGACTGGGCTCGGGTGGGAGAAGACGTATGTAGTGTCATCTGCAAATAGTGTGGGTTTGAGTAATTGCAAAGCATTTGGTAGGTCATTTATGTATAGGAGAAAGAGAAGAGGGCCAAGGACACTTCCCTGTGGGACACCAACTGTAATTGGTTGTGCAGAAGAGTTTGCCCCATTTGCGTACACATATTGGCTTCTGTTGCTGAGGTAAGACTTGAGGTAGTTGAGGGAGTGCCCTCTTATACCATAGTGTGACAATTTTACGTGGAGCAAGTCATGGTCAACTGTATCAAAAGCTTTACGTAAGTCAATGAAGATCCCCAGTGGGACTTCTTTTTTTCTCTATTGCAGTGTATATATGTTCTAGATTGTGTATAATAGCATCATTAGTATTTTTATTAGGCCTGAATCCAAATTGGCAGGGGTTGAGTATGTTTTGGGAGATAAGGTAGGAGTAGATTCGTTTATGAATTAATTTTTCGAAGATTTTTGAGAGGGTGTAAATTGGATATTGGCCTATAGTTATTCAACTCTGTTTGGTCTCCTCCTTTGTGGATCGGGGTGACCCTTGCTATTTTGAGTATTGTACTAGAGGTTATATGGCAGTACAAGGTAATTAAGAGTACTCTAAGATAGTAAATGTGGTATAAAACAGGTAAAGGTAATTAGACAAGTAATGGTTATTAAATGTCAAAAATGTTAAGAGTAAATTGAAATTATAGTAAAAATGATAATTATTAATTTTAGTAAGTAATATCAATTGATAGTATTTAAAAAATATGAAGTAATAATATGGACAGAAAGTATCAATTCAGCTAATGTTTAAGCAAACAATAGTAAATAAGAAAATTACATAAGGTGACTTATGCTTACTAGTAAAATCACAAAATGAGGTAGTTGATTATTTAATTACTAAGATTGTACAATGAAATTTGAACAATAATGGAGCAAAACATTCACTACACTACGTAGGCTTTTAGGTTGGACATTGTTTAGTTATTCTCTGTAAGATTAGTATCCCTGAGAAATCGTGATAGATTATTCTCGTTCGTTATTGTGTACAGTTGACCTACATTTGTTTTCCTAACAAGAATTTTCCCATCTCGTGTGAAGCATTGGTGTATTGTCATTATTCTCCCGCTTAAGTTTTCCGACTCTATAAAGGAGGTTCTGACATTTTTTGGCAAGACACTCGTTTATGTACACCTCTTTCATTAAGGTTTATGTATACCTCTGAGAATAAGTATAAATATCCTAAATTACTTGCAACAGATAGGACAAATTGTAGATATAAATTCAGAAATACTCCTGTTAGAACTTTGAGCCTAGCTCCTAGTCCTTTCATGCATACTGTCCACAGGATGAACATGGATGCACACTGAACTAGCTGCTTTGGAGGCAAAATAAAAATAAACCTTCAGTGACTAGTATTATATCCTTCTAGCCTTCATAGATGCTGTCTTGTTGGAACATCCCTTGTACACAACTTTCCTAATATGAATCCTAGTCCTGGCTTTCTCTGTAGGTGCCTTCCTCTTTAATTACATTATCAAAGGCACCAAACTTCAGAGCACCTGTGACTTGACCTGGTCTTTCTCTCTTGACCTTTCCTTTCTGCCTTTTTTCTTCTGCCTAGATGGATACTGTGTCCAGTGTAGCACATGTTTCCAGCATTACAAACTTGTGCCACACTGCACTATTCCTATCATGTGCATTAAGGTTCAGGGGACTGGGGTTATGCAATGTGGGGCTACCTTTCTCAGATCGCTGTTACCAAAATACACCTGACTCGGAATTAGGAAGTCCTGACGTTGGAACTTTTACTCATCGAAAGGACTTTAGCCTTGACAGTTCACATGAAAAATTATTAAAGATCAAGCATAGTATGTTATAAACTTGTTCGGTAAGTGCGTGTAGGCTGAAAAAATATTCAGTGAATGTTTTATTTTTTAATAGGAAAGAGATCTGACATGGAAATTCAACATTACCTGCGTCGCACTCAAGGCAACATGACTAAGACGCCGGTGGCTGTGGGTGTGTTAACACATTCTATGGCAGAGCAACATAGTCTTCCTAACACACCATACAAGGTGATAATACCCACCTCAGTCTACAGATAGTTATGGCTAATTGTGCTCATTTAAGAGCTTCAATTAAGCATTATTAGGCAATAAAAATACAATAAGAAGGACGAGAAACTGTTAAATAGGTTAGTTTCAATTTATTGGTAAGAACAAGGCTATTTATAGGAAACTGCTGAAATCTTGAGTTAGACAGCACCTGGGGAATGGTAGACAATCAGGTTAGATTCAAGGAAGAAGGAAAGTTTAATTGCTTGTCTCGCATGACAGCAGCAGTAACAGCCTGGTTGATCAGGCTCTGATCCACCAGGAAGCCTGGTCACAGACCGGGCCGCGGGGGCGTTGACCCCCGGAACTCTCTCCAGGTCTCCTGACCAGCATTAAGGAATCCCATTGAAGGAAAGGGGGATGGGGAGTAAGGATAAGATGGAATCATACACTGATGACAGGGTTGGAAAGTGGTGATACATGTGTGGCTTCTCAAAGGTACATGGGAAAGGGTCACTTAAAAGAATCTGGGGTAGTGTTAGGTGAGATTACATTTTGCAATACCTTGTGATGCTGGATCATAATACTATAGGGGGTCTCGCCATCTGTGCTGGATCATATTGTAGTGGGTCGCCTTACTGTTGGTGTTTATGCTTCCAGTGCTGGATTATAGTGTGGGGTTTGTGCCCTCTCCCCCCCCCCCTGCTAGGTAACCTATAATTCTTGTATTGGAGACACCTGGCTGGAGAAATAAAACTGAACTTATAGTACTAGAGTTCAGGGGAAAGTGGGTGGAGGAAAGTTTAGACTGGTAGACAGTTAAGATAGTGACCCTTTAAAAGGGATGGGAGAGGATCTTGGCTGGTGTGACCCTAAAGGGTGGGGGAAGTGGAATGCTTAGTCTGGTTACCTTCAATGGGATGCCTTGATGCTGGCAAAGGGTTCTTGATTGAAGAAATTCAAGCTACTCTTCCGGTCAGTTTTTTCCCATTATCCATTATCTCGATGGATTTACCACTTTTCCAAGAATATACACTGAAAATAAACTGGAAGAGGTACTGACAATAGTATTTGTTTGTACTATGTTGATTATAATTATGGGCAAATATTAAACCCATAAGAGTTAATTATCAGTGGCTGTAAATCATCTTAAAATTACTTTCAGAGGGCAGTTGCTGATATTGTGAAATTGCTTAAAAATGAGACCCAGAAGATGAACTTAACCATGGAAGACCTCCTGCCTCCGGTGGACCAGCCCTACTATCAGTACAGGTCAGTGGATGAGCTGTGCTGCTGCTGGTACAAGTCAGTAATCATACACAGTTAGGTAAAAGGACACTTGCAACTAATGCAGTTATTTACTGTGGTAATGTTTCGCTCTGCAGAAGCAGCATCAAGCTTAAGTTCCTGGAGAGCGAAACGTTGCCACAATAAAATGTTGCAACAGTTGCACGTCCCCCCCTTTTTTTTTAACCTAACATTGTCGACAATTCTGCCAACATTATCATACACCCTAAACTTACTCTTGTTCCCTCCTTCCTCCTCAGCCTCTGAAGTTGTAACATTCTTCCACCTAGCACTGATGTAAATTTAGACTAGTACCCCTACATTGAAGGATTTAGTGTTGAAGGCCTCTTTAGTCTTATTATAATCAAAACTAAGTGCTAAACACACCAGTGTTATATAGCCTCTTGGTCTAAAGAATTGGAACTATCCTCTTTCCTCAATTATACCTGCTTAATCTCTTCCTGCATACAGTTTTCTAGGTGCTATATGACCCAGGCAAGTGTTTACCAATGAATATTTTAAAAGTAACTGTCACTGTAATAGAAAACTGTTTGCAGTGGCAGTGTTCCTGGCTCTTGTTCAGAGGAAACGGAGTGGTTGGTATATGAAGTAGAGATGAACACAACCTCTGAACTGCTACACACACTCAGGATGCAGTCAGACGTGCAATCTTTCTTTGACATGGTTCAAGCTTCCTCCGATATATTTTACTCAAACTGGTGAGTAGCATGTTAGTATAGTTTGCATGGTTATGCCCCTTTTCCCCATCTGAATGAAGCACCTTGATGCCAGGGAATGTCTTGATTGAATGAATTAATGCTGCTGCTCTTGCATCTTGCCACTGATAACTCAGTTTTCCCAGGTGCTGTATGACTCTTACAGATTTAGTAAGTCCATACTAATTCTATTAGTTATGATCAGAAGTTAATTTGATTGTGTATATACATTACAAGGAGGTAGATTATAGACAGCAATTGCCCAGGGAGGTACTACCATCCTGCCAAGTGAGTGAAACCGAAACCTGTAATTGTTTTACATGATAGGATTGCTGGTGTCTTTTCAGTCTCCTAAACCTGCAAGGTTTCAGGGACATCTTGCTACTTCTAGTTACTTAGGTCATAAGACACATACATGTACAAGCATATATACACACCCCCTCTGGGTTTTCCTCTATTTTCTTACTAGTTCTTGCTTATTTCCTCTAATCTCCATGGGAAAATGGAACAGATTCTTCCTCCGTGAGCCATGCGTGTCGTAAGAGGAGACTAAAAATAAATATATACATATATATTTAAAAGTAGAAACTTTAGTTTTTCATTTTGGTTCACCTGGCCTCTGGGATACTACCAGTTTGTTGAAAGGACATATTAACAACTGCAATTGCTTATTTTAACTATTTACAGGAGTGGAGCATCAAATGGCATTAAACTACAGGCTGCAAAGATGCAACCCAATGAGATAAATGAAACTTCATCAGAAATGGAAACTCCTGAAGCTAACAAGAATGTCATGGAGCCTGCAGAGGGCACACTTGGTATCCTTATGCCAGTATCGAATACAGTGCCCATTTTCCCAGAGGCAACTCTTGTTGCATCAGAAGTTATTAGCATGAGCCTTCAGAGTGTTGTACCAGTGAGGACAAGAACCCAGAACACAACTTTACCATTTTCTACTTCAAGAAGCACCACCCATTCCAATATTGACTCGTTAGAAAAGGCACCATCAAGCAATGGCTCGAGCACTAACCAATTAAACAAGGAAATGTCACATACTGCCCCATCAAGTGAGCTACAGACCACTACTTCATTACACACAATTACCCCAGTAGACAGTGGGCTAGAAAGCAATTTCAACATGCATGCAAATGGCACATCATCAAGCAGTGGGCTAGAGAGCCCTTTAGTGCACACACAAACTACTGAAACACTGGGTTCCCAAGGAATGGCACCAGTGCCAAAGCTGTTTGCTTTTGTTGGAGTGATTGTAACTATTTTTTTTATATTATAGTTAAGCTGCATTGTTTTTATGCCTTTTATTAAAATTACAAATGTATATTTTCTTCCAACCAATGGATAACATTGCTTGATGGCAAAATTTAAGTACTGGATAATGTCCCTGGAATTCAAATTTAAGATACCTTGATGCTGAAGTGCTCTTGATCACTGGCATTAAAAGTACTCTTTCCTATTTGGATTTGAACTTAATCACAATTTTTTTTAATAACTGGGGGGGAGGGGGGCAATAATCAGGTTGACATCATTCTCTATTTGATAATTTTGGAGTCTTCTAGGCTGGAATAACGTCTGAGTAACCATCGTTGCTGCTGGGATATACAGATAACCCAGTGGTTAAGTTGGAGACTAATGCATTTCTTTTTTCTTGGGGGGGGGGGGAGATATAGGTCAAAACTGTTTTTTTTACTTATTGATATTATTTTCATGGGGAAGTGTTAAGCCCATAGGCATCAAACAGTCTTTGGGGAATAGGAGGTAATCATGTTTGATTCAAGGTTAGTGGCTCCAATTACTTGGATGGAAAAACCCTTAACTGGCACTGAGTACCCTTGAAGGGAACCATGTGGTTTTGTTACCAAAATATGTAAAATTTCACTTATTTGTGACATTCAAAACAAATTGATCACTTGGACCTTTTTTTTTTTTTTTTTTTTTTTTTTAAACTAAAGGGAAACTCCTCCATTCTTGTGGACAATCAGATGTCCACTCGATTGTCTACCAAGACAATTTTTTAATAACTGGGAGGCAATAACCAGGTTATTTAAGACTTCATACTTTCTTTGATAGATTTTGTAGTCTTCCAGGCTGGCATAACATCTGTATCTGAGTAGCCATCACTGCTGCTCGAGTCATCAGATTCCAGTTTATTTGGTGTGGTGGTCAGTGAGGCTTCAGCTGAGCCTTTGTAAGGTGACTGGCTGGGTTCAGTGTCACATTCAGAGTCACTGTCAGTTTTCGTACTTTCTTCCTCAAATGTTTTTTTACATTTTCTTGTATTCTCTGATCGTCATCACTAGAGAATGAATCAGTTTCTTTAGTTCCTAAGTAATTTACTTTAGTTTCAAACATAGAAAAAGTTGGTGCAGATATTTCTTTGCCTTTTTATTTTGATTTTGCAATGTCACTATGACTTGTACCTTTCACTGCCTTTGATTTCACATAACCATCACTGGATAACTTATATTTAGACTGCAAAGACTCACTTTTGTTCTCATTTTCATTCTTTTTCTTTTTAAACTCAACATTTTTATTATTCTTGCCAGATAAAGAATCAGCAGTAAAGTCGTCATTGCTGTTCTCTGGAGAAGTTATCCTCACTTGTTTTTCCCACTGTCTTCTGCTTCCGTGGGCTTAAATAAACAGGATACTTTTTATTAGGATACAATTCTTCAAATATATCACGTTGAAAGAATGTAAACAATGTCTTGCGATGAACGCCAAGATACAATCTACGTGAATTTTTGTTCATGTTTTCCACATACTGTAATATTTGTTCTGCATATTTTTCCTTAAGTTCTTCACAACGTTCAGTATATCTTTGCTTCTCATCCTTGGACAGGTTTTTCCATTCTTTTAAACACTCATTTTTGATCTGGGACTGTGATTCATATTTATCTTGGGCCAAATGTTTTACCTTCATAAAGAAGAGCATAAAAGGGCTCTTAGGATCAAATGCTTCGGATGGTTTTAACAGTTGATGGGTACTTGCAGATGGGGCGGTTTTCTTAGTATTTTCTCCTCTTCAAGCGGGGGCTCCTTGGTGTGGTGAAGAGGCTCTTGGTCTGAGGAATTAGACCTGTCGATCTCCTTCCTCAGTCCGAACCTAATTACCCCCCAATCTCCCCTTCCCTATCCCATCCTCCCCCTTTTTTCCTTTCCTCCTCCTCCCCACCCCTCCCTTTTGCCCTTCCTCTTTTTGGCTTTTGGGATTTTTCCCACAGGCGCGCTAGTTCCTAGGTAGGGGAAAGGGTACCGGGGTCCATCCCATTCCGTTGAGGTTCTTGGCGGTGGCGTGGTTTGCCGTGGAATCTGGATCGCCTGGGGATGTCCAGATCCCTCTCCGGTATCCTGGAGGGTGGCTTTGGGTGACTGGTGTATCTCGGGAAGCCACCTTTCAGATTCCAGGGGTGGTGGCTGAAGGAAGTATGCTTTGTGGCGGATATCCAGCCACCCTCTTTTGTCCACTGTGGTAGCTCTGCAGATGTGGGGTTGCTATCCCGGATTGCTGGTTTACTGGCATGAAGGGTAGGGTATAGCATGGGTTCCATGCTGCATCTGCGCTACTTGGGGTGCTGAGGTCTTCTTGGGCGTGGAGGGAGATTTCTGGCCCTTTCATTCCTCCTAGGAACTATCCCTCCCTGCTCTCCCCCCCCTTTTATTTTTTTTATTTTTACTTTTTTTTTTTTTCTTAAAAAGTAGTAACCTAACCATGGAGTCCCATATCCATGACCCCGCTACCCCTGGGCCCCTTATTGTTACCGCACCCTGTTCTGACCTCGCCTCGCCTTTTGGCCACTCTTTGGACACACCTAAGGCCCCTGTACCTCTTGCTGGTGCTGTTTCGTCACCCGCTTCAAGTGCTGGGGTTTCGACTGACTAATTCGATTTGTCTGACCTCTGCTCTTTGACCATGCTTCCGGCCTCTTCCTCTATGGTGTGGCAATTTTCGAATCTCCAGCCCGTCCCATGTGGGACTGACTCTGGTCCCACTTCTAAACCCCAACGACACTCTCCTGATGTTACTTCTTTACCTTCCCATTCTACTTGGAAAAGACCGACACGTCATGCACTCCCTCTCCACACTCGGTTTTGGACCACACAATGGACTAAATTCTTTACTTTAAGACAGACTTCTTCTACTGCCTATCTTTCCAACCATAGTATTGGTAAAGTGCTCCTACGCCACGTTGGTAGAGATATTTCCTTTCATGCTCTTAAGAGTGGTACGCACATCATCACAGTCCAGAATTCTACCCAAGCTCATGATCTTTCTTTCACATATCGATACTATTCCTATCACTATCGAAAAACATCATTCCCTCAATTCTTGTGGTACTGTTATTCTGCCCCATACCATAGTCCAACAGAATTTCCAGACGTGTCAATGACATTCTCGAACAGCTGGAACTCCAAGATCTCCCAATTCTCAAGGTAGACACTTGCATTCTTTCTGCCCGCGGGCGAAGACGATGCCCTTGCAACGTGGCTCGTTTAACTTTTGACAGCCGTGAACTCCCATCCTGTTCATGTAGCAGGACATCGGTTACAAGTACGGAAGGTGATCCCTACACCGCAACAGTGTAGGAATTGAAGGTTGAGACACTTATGCAGCACATGGGAATCTTTATTCAGGAAACGTTTCGCCACACAGTGGCTTCATCAGTCCAATACAAAGAGGAAGGTGTAAGGAGAGGAGGAGAATGAGGTAATCAGTCCCTCAACCTTTGGACGAAGACCTACTTCGACTAGTGGATGGTACCACTATGACCCCGCCTCCATCTGCTTCACGTCACCTCACTACAGTATATAAGCCACGTCTACGGCCCTATGCTGTACATTCTACAAGATTGATGGATTGAACACATCGACTCCAGGTTGAGGGACTGATTACCTCATTCTCCTCCTCTCCTTACACCTTCCTCTTTGTATTGGACTGATGAAGCCACTGTGTGGCGAAACGTTTCCTGAATAAAGATTCCCATATGCTGCATAAGTGTCTCAATCTTCAACTTGTCGGTTTTTCAAACCATTCATCACAATGTAGGAATTGCTGGCGATCTGTCCACCCAGCAAAATATTGCAGATCTATAGCCGAATGCCCAGTCTGTGGTGCCGATGACCATTCTAATACGCCTTGCAGTCACTCCCTCTTGCCTTAATTGTCATGAGGCTCGCCCTTCGTACTCTCGCCTTTGCCAGGTCTACTTAAATGAGCGTGAAATTCGTTGCCTCAAAAAGGCAGAAGGTCTCCCTTATGCTATGGCAGTTTCTCATCTTCGCTTCCAAGGGAGACAACCCAGTGTTTCTTATTCTCGTGTTTCAAAACTCCCCCCCACTTCTGGGGTCCCATCTTCTGCAGCCTCCTCTGTGGTTGCCAGTCCCATAGTCACTCCTGTATCTAATTCTTTTGCTGTCCTGGGCTCGGACGTCCCTACTTCAACACCTCAGTCTGTCCTCGCTTCGTGTTCTCCCTCACAAACCCCGGTATCGACAAGACCTCGTATGACACCTCCCAATCATCCCTCTACTTCTCAGAGATCAAAAAAATCTCCTTTAACCCCTCCTTCCCTTCATCCACCTCCATATTTTACCTTCCCGGTCTCTGTACCTGGGTCTTCACCTTTCACTGGCTGTTAAAAGTGTGGAGGTTCATCATCCTCCTTGTTCCTTGTACTGTGCCTTCCTCCCCTGTCCCCTCCCAAGTTTCCTCTTCTGCCACCTCCCAGGTTTCTGCCTCTTGTCCCCTCCCACACTTCTCTAGTTCCCTCCACCCTCTCGCCTCCCTCCCCCATACCTTGGTACAGTCCATTACAGTTCCGATCTTTACTCAAACTCCTTCTCCTTCCATCTCCAATATTCTCTCGTACGTCGTCTCTGAACTCCGAAACACTTGAAGCAATCTCTGAATATATTGGAGACCAAACCATCAGTGGACACTGATCCACCCTCTGTTCCTTCTCTTTCCTCTTCTCCATCTGCGCAGCAACTCCTTTCTTCACAGCACGCCGTTCCTTCGCTGCTTGAACGTTTTCCTTTGCCATGGCATGTGGACTTCTTTGACCCCTCTAGTCCGTAGGTACCTTTACCTGCGGATTTCAGGCGTCTTTATCATTGCCAATCATGGCAACGATGGCAATGGGGTGAGCTTCAGATGTTGCTCTCCCAGTTTTCTCCTGTTGGTGTTTGCTTACAGGAACCAAAATTACTCTGCTGTTATCTATCCCATCTCGGGCTATAATTTATTGTATTCTTCAGATACTTTTCCTGATGGGACCTTTAATGAAAGTG